ATCAGTGAGCTCGCCGGTGTCTGACCGTATTGGTCCAATCTTTTCTCGTGTTTTAGTTTGATACATTTGGTAGAATCCTTTGGGGTTTGTCTTCGCCTCCCTTGCAATCCTTACCTCATTATTCCTCTTGGCTTTCCTTATCTCGGTTTTAACCCTACTCGCCAATACCCTATAATAATCCCGGAGGTAAATTTCGCCACGATTTATCCTTCTACCTATAGCCTTCCTTTGGCCAATGATGTTCTTTAAATAATTATTTATCCATTTAGGGTCATTTTTGTCTGATCTGAGTTTTTTGTATGGTATGTTCTGCCTTTGTGCATTAAGTAACTCACTATTTAAATTTTCGTGGAACTCGGCAATCTCAGATCTCGTTATCAGGTCTGTGTCATCTGTCAGGTTCACGGCCAAGGGCGACACCCCTCTCTCAGCTGCCTCTTTAAACTGTCAAAGTTTGCCCTTCTGAAATCTGGTACTTTAGTGGAATTTTCCTTACGTCTGCCCTGAAAATCTAACTGGAATCTAATTTCTTTGTGATCGCTGTTTGCAAGTTCGTTCCCTACCTCGACATTGCTAATGAGGTTTTCTCTGTTTGACAGAACTAAATCGAGTATATTATATCCCGGGTGGGTTCGGTTATATGTTGACTTAGAAAACAGTCGTGGATCATCTCGAGAAAATCCTCTGATTCTGAGTTACCTGTAAGGTCAGTCCAATCTATTTGGCCAAGGTTAAAGTCGCCTACTATACAGACTTTGTTGTGTATGGAAGCCCTGCTCATTTCATCCCAGATAAGTCGCTCATTGAACTCTATCAAGATTGGGAGGTCTATATATTACTCCTGTGATTAATTTTTCCCTACCGTCGATTAATTCTATCCAAATTGTTTCTGTACTCCGCTCAGTTTTTATTTCCTTATTTATTTCACACTTCAGATTATCCCGAACATAGATTGCTACTCCGCCTCCCTTCCTGGTCTGCCTATCGGTATGGAACAGTTTGTAACCCGCAATTTGGTATTCGACCGGTAACTCACGTGTGTCTAGGTTGATCCATGTTTCAGTGAATGCTATTATATCGATTTCTTCGGTACATACCAAGGCCCTAATATCATCCATTTTGTTTCTCATACTTCTACTGTTCGCGTAGTATACATTTAAGTTGGTCGTGTTCTGAGTCCTCCCCTTACCGCGTTTAGTTTTAAACTCTCTATCTAATTTAGTTTTGTCATCATTCCTAGCACAATTTCCCTGTAATCTTTCACTTTGCTTACCCTCTCCCACTGCAGTCTCCTCCACCCCCGTGCTCATATGTTCTCCTAGCAGTTTAAAGACTTCGATATCTTTTGAACTGCCTCCTCTAGAGCCCCAGCCAGGGTTGCTACTCCATCCCTCGACAGGTGCACCCCATCCCTAGCATAAAGGTCCCTTCTGCCGTAGAAGTTGTCCCAGTTGTCAATGAATGGGACTGATATTGACTTGCAATATCTGTCAAGACGGTCGTTGACACCAACTGCCCTTGACAACCATTCACTGCCAACTCTCCTTCTAGGCAGGACACAGCATATGATAGGGATCCCTCCCTTAGTCCTAATACGATCTATAGCTGCCTTGAACTTATCAAGAAGCTCCTCGCTCCTACACCGGCCAATATCATTGCCTCCTGCACTGAGGCAGATAATGGGTTTGTTCCCATTACCAGACAAGATATTGTCCATCCTGTCAATTATATCCCCCACCCCAGCTCCTGGCAAACACATCCTCATCCTATTTATGTTTTTACCATAAAAAGCCCTGTCCAAGTACCTTACCTGTGAGTCACTAACAATTAAAGTTTTTATACCTTCCTTGTGAGCCCTGTCCCTGACTGTACTAACGTCCAATTCGTCTATCAAGGGACTGAACGAGTTGGTACACTTAGCTGCTGACGTCGTTGTTGACGTATCCTTGGTGTGTTTTTTCATCACCAGTTTGGTCATCCCTCTCCTTACAACCTTCCACGCGCTTGAATTTTCGTCAGACACTGGCTTTCTTGAATTTTCGTCAGACACTGGCTTTCCCTGTCCCGCCTCCCCCTTCAATCTCGCCATCTCTTCTTTTAATTTCAGGTTCTCCAACGTAGCCCTCTCTATTTCTTCCTTGGCCCTCTCCAATTCTCCCATGGTCCATTCCAGCTTGGCCAACAAACTCGAAGACCTCAGACCACACATAACGCTGGCCATATCTGATAATTATCCCTCGGGAGCTAACCCTGCCGTGACCTTTCCCCTAGCGAGGCCAGAACACAACTCCCTAATGAATGCAGCGTCACGCGTGGGTGACAGTTAGTGGAATGACCATTGTCATGATGGCGGTTGATTTGAAAATTTAATTTGGGGACTGAGTTCACAATTACTATTAAATTACAAATACATGATTATCATTTAAATTACAATTGTAATTACAATTAACTGATAACTTTTTCAATTACAATTACAGTTCCTATTTTCTTGTAATTAATTACATTTCAATTAAATTACAAATACAATTACTCCAACCCTGATTGTTAAAGATCAGCAACAAGTGTTGTCTTTGAAGAATCACTGTTCTTTTTTCTCCAGACTCTATATAGCTTCTCAAGTGCGAGTTGGAGAACTTGATAAGTTCTTTGATCGTGAAAACCAAGTATATACTCCTGTGATGCCACAATTTGGTAAACTGTGACAGGGGACTAAATCAGATCATGTGGGATGTTTGGAGGATCTAGTACCACCAGATGTGAATGCTGATACATCTCTCACTGACGTCATAATCATCGATGGAGATGCTATTGTGCACACGCTTCAACCAGGTTCTGCTTAGACATTAAATGACTATGCCATGCATGCATTCTTACCTTACATAGAATCCTAATTGCAGAAGGATTTTCGTATAGAAGTTGTGTGGGATGAATACCTTCCCCGTAGTATAAAGGCTGGTACACGACAGGGAAGAGGCAAAGAAGTGAGGACACGTATGGAAGTGACAGGTTTCATTCCTAGAAACTGGCAAGAATTCCTTCGCCTGGACGAAAATAAGTCTGAGCCATTTTCTTTTTTGGCATTAAGAGTGGTGTCGATGAGTACAGAGAAACGGGTTATCAGCGCACATCACGCAACCGTTCTCTTCACCCAGTATAGCGACGCATCCTGTGTAACCATGAAGAGGCAGACACAATAATGAAGCTGCACTTGGAAGATGCTGTAAATGAGGGTTAGACCACGACATCAATATGCACTGTCGAGACAGATATGGTAGTCTTCGCTGTTGAATCAGCTAATCGTCTGAACATCGATGCACTCTGGGTTTCCTACAAGGCAGGGAAAAATGTGAGTCACATTCCAGTCAATGAAATTACCACAGCAATGGGACCCAATCGCTATCTTGCGTTTCTAATGTTTCATGCTTGAACAGGATATGACAGTGTGTCATTCTTTGCAGGCAGAGGAAAGAAAACAACCTGGGAAGTCGGGAAGTCTTATGATGCAGTGATTGCAGCTTTTGGTGCTTTGGGTGCAACGCCTAAAGATGGAGAAGCCTGAACAAGACACGAAGGGTGTTCTCTTATCCTATTGTATGACCAGGCCCGCAAAGAGCACTTCGCTCAGAAGGGAAGAACAATAGAAGGAATACCGCCAACATACCATGAGGGCTGTGTACCAAGCATGATGTTGCTGGGTACAGGCGATGATTGCAGAACCTGAGCTTCCTTCAGCAGATAAATGGGGTTGGGTTAAGAATGATGAAGATGAATGGGATGTTTACTGGACCACTTTGCCTGAAGCATCAGCTGCTTGTCGTGAGCTACTACAGTGTGGTTGCAAGAAGGTGTGCAGAGGATACGGCAAGTGTATCAAGGCAGCTCTCCCAATGTACTGGCCTTTGTCTGTGTGTGGGTCAGTGTGCTGCTGAGTGTGATTGAATGCTGCAGATATCCAATAGACTACAACTAATACACTGTAAATTGTAAGATTATGCAAATGATGATATTCTAATTCTTGTCTTTTGAACATAAGTTTGGATAGCAGCAACGCTGGAAATATTTTAATGAAGAATGATATTTATACTAACTCTGTATGTCAGTGTGTTAAAACTTGATTATTTTAGACAAGGCACTGTTTTCAATGTTTTATTTTGACAAAGAGCTCATGCACAATGTCCTGCAATCGAAAAAGGCCCTCTGACCATATTTTCTCATGATTGCATGATATTTTTCCATAATATATACATCTGATGGCTCTATTGTACTCCTTGACCCTGAAAACATGGGTAAAGACGCTTCTAGTACAAGATTATCTTGTTTAGTATTAAAGTTAGGCGCAATATTGATTTTGCAATTATGGCGGAACAATAATGGCCGCAACGACCATCACAGGAAGAATTTTTAGTGACCGTATAATCAAAAAGCTTCCTTTAAACCTACCCTAGATCTCTGCCAAATTTCATGCTTTTATCATTGTCACAATTCTTTCACATATCTGCTTCATTATTTTGTGGTGTGGATGTAAGAAGGGATGCAGAGGTCTTTGCAAGTGCATGAAGGCAGCCCTCCCTTGCACAGCTCTTTGTCAGTGTGGTGGATCCTGTGCTGACTGAGCTAGTGGCTGGAATGAAGTATGAAATGAAGTATGAAAATGTATAAAAACATTCAGATCAGTTGTACATTAAAATAAAAAGATTTTTTGCCGATCATATGGAGATAACCTAATAGACTATAGTATAGGCACCAGAGCAGCAAGTGGAGGCCATTTTGGAAAATGGCCGCCATTGCTCTCACGGGTCAAATCTGCGATGTCCCTATGGCTAAAACTCTTTAACTAGGCATACCCTAATTGTGTGCCAAATTTCATGCTTTTATCATAAAAGGCACAGCTTATCCACATATCTGCTGCGCTATTACCCTCTCTCTGTGTCTCTCATCTGTCTCTACTTCGTTTTTCATAAATCTCTCCCCATCTTCTAAAAATCTAACCTCTCACTCACCGAGCATCAAGAACACGGTCCTCTCCTCGCACAATCCGCAATGCTTCCTCCAGGTCTGGCACTGACTGGCTCGTCCGTACATCTCCTCCTGTTCCTCCCCCCTCGTCTCGAGCACCTGCTCCTCCTCCTCTTCTCCCTCCTCTCATGCTGTCTTCACTGTTTTTCCCAGCGGTCGTCTTGGCAGCCTTGGCAGCTCGACGTTGACGGAGGGGCTCCCTCAGGAATTTGATCATCAAGGTGTCTTTTTCCTTCTTCCGCTCACTGAGAATCTGTTCCCGCCGCCGCCGTTCCTCAAGTTCTTGCTTCTGCATCTGACGGTCTCGTGCCCTGGGGGAGAAACACGTATCACGTGGTTAGAGCAGGTCACACCTCTCTGGGGTACAGCGTGGTGGTAGGGGGTACGTCACACCCACTAAGGTACAGTTTGGTGATAGAAGACACATCATAACCATTGTGGTGCAGTGTGGTGATAGAGGACACGCCACAACCACTGTGGTACAGTGTGGTGGTAGTGGACACGTCACAACCACTGTGGTACAGTGTGGTGATAGGGGGCACATCATAACCACTGTGTTACAGTGTGGTGGTAGGGGGCACATCACAACCACTGTGGTACAGTGTGGTGGTAGGGGGCACGGTACAACCCTCCACGGTTGTGTCGCAGTGTCATGCTCTACAGGAGACCTTTACCTGATGTCAGTGCCACTCCTCCACTAGGGGAGTCACAGTAAACCTGGAAGCAGAGGAAGAAGTAAAGGAGGGATTGGAGAAGAAGCTGACAGTACAGAGAGAACGGAAATGTAGGTGTTAGTGGAGGCTTGCTGTGTGAGGCATTGTGTAACCCGCCAACAGCCCAACACGGGCATACTGTGTTAAGTGTCCAGGAACAAACCTGCTGCTAATAGATTACCTGACATCTGTGCTTTTCTGCGATAGTGGGAAGAAACATGGATAAGGGGCGTGGAAACAGTGATAGAAGAATGAAAAATGAAAAGTTATATTCCGAAAATGGTAGCCGGGAGCTTCAATTGTGAGATACCAGGGGGAGATGAGAAGAATTCAGGAGGTCGTCCCAATTATTCAAGTGAATATCCAAATGTAAATTTTGGCTGGGAAATTTTTGTAAAAAGAAATTGATTTTTAGTCTGTAGAAACAGATCCAGTAAGGTGTTTGGGTGGTCAGCTGGGAGCGTTTTCATGTACAGGTATTGTTCTATTTCTTAGACGGCTTTTTGATATGGGCAGGTACAAGGATGAGCTCTGTGATGTCACTGATGATGAGGAACATTTCTTTCCTTATTTCTTCGGGAAAAGGGAGAGAGGAATTTAGGAAGTAAAGAATATACGCAATTGAAAATACTAATGCGACTACTACTTTTTTGTTTGTTTAAATGGCCTCCAGTCTCCCCCAATAGCCATACCTTGGCTACCATTTTATTAACCTTAATATTAAATATCCTAATACATAAGTAGCTATCCTAGCTGTGTTGAGGTAGTTGAGCCGCAGATCTATGCGGCATTCAGTGACTGTTGCCTCATTGTCAATATCTGCAACTGTTGTCGGCTTTGGCGCCGATGCTCTCGTTCCCCTGAGGCAGAGCAAAGCCGACCTAAGGAGAGAGCAGGACAGTCGACATCTCATCCAGGCTGTAACATAACTTCTGGGCTGCTGCTTCTGTTCAGATAGCATCTCCGCGAGTCTGACGTAGAAGCATCTTGCACTTGGTCCCATCCCACCAGAGGTTGCGAACACTAGAGGAGTGAAGCTGCCTCAATCAACGTTCTGATTCCCTCCCCGTATGCCCTTATCTTGTCGCTCTCGTTCCTCCGGTGTGCAGCATCGAGAGCTAAGTTACAGTGACATGCGGCCATTGGATAAAAAGTCCTGATATTGAAGAAGGCTCGCTGTCCCAGCGTCCAGAATCCTCGAGCAGTGACGTCAACATGGGCTTCGTTGGATGTGTTTGAAGTCCTATGTTGGAAATTCTCACCGTCCAATGGAAGGAGGGTCGGTTCTACCATCACGAGAGATTTCCTTCAACATATTTGCTGTGAGATCACTTACTTCGTCATGCCTCATACATACGAAGGCCCCTTTCTTGCACACCATGGCATGATCGACGTCATAGGATGAGCCACACACGCATTGGGAGGGCAAACCTTCTACTAGCCTACCATACCTTAGAGCAATGGTATCTGTAAATTCTTGTTTATTGAGACTGAAACCATTTGCTCTTATCGGTAAGGTAGTTAACCAGCTCGAGGCCCCCACCTCCTGCGCTATAGCTACTTTTTTTCAAATTCTCTGGTACCTGCAGCATCAGATCCTGCAACTTATCACTTTGGCCGTGCTGTCGTTCTGTAGTAATGGACCTTCGAATCTTGTTTACTTCACTGGTATCCACCTCCCCTGTTGCATTCTGAGCTATTATGTGGTCAGTGAGGGCTGCCGTGAGCTTAAATGAGTTTTGATGTTAGGTGGCAGCAATCTCCTCAGGATTGCTCAATCCCATTCCTCCCAGTCTCGGTGGTAGTGCAAGGAGTGATCTTTCTGCTGGGGTTAAGTGAGGGTGTTTCACTAATTTGGGAATAAAATTGACACTGATAGCTTCTTCCAGAGGGTGGAGGAGGGGTCCGATATCAGGAATATGCGCATCAGGTAGTTCCAGCGACGCTTGACTCCATGGGTAAATGCAGCAAGAGTCGCATGTGGCTCTGTGTTAGCAATATCAGACTGAGCTTGGATTACCCTAACCCACTCATTCACCTTTCCCGTTACGTATTCGGTACTGAAGTCTGTCGTGCCGATTACTGCACCTAGGTGTCTTTGGCCATCCTTTGTTATTTTGACTTGCTGGCGTTTGGGTGGTACCCTATTTGTGAACCTCGTGATGTTACCAGGTCCCACCACTTTTTGATGTCCTCCACTTTTCCTGCTTCTGTAAGGTCGTCAGCATACGCCACTTGCTTGACCTCGGTTGTTTCAAATTGTATTGTGTGTTGGAGCACGGATAGGCCTATTGCGTACATTGCCATTGCAACAGGGTCCCCCTGCGTTGTTCCCTCATTTGAATGTATGGTGGTATCACCTCCTAGAGCCTTGTTGTTTACTATATAGAGGTCTGGTGGATTCCTATAGGTGTTTTCAACATACATTGCAAAGCTTAGACACTTGATCTTGATGTTGTGCAGTGCGGCCTTGCGGTTAAGTATGTTAAATGCGTTTGAAGCGTCCACCAGGAGAACGGCCTCACAATCACGCTACTAAAATATCGTTCTCATGGCGTGAATGGCAGCTTCCCCTCCAGCCTGGTGGCCAGCACAAACTTGCAGGTTCCCTGCTGCTGCCCTGACATCATCCTTTACCACCTCCATTTTGCATTTTCCGATGATCCGCCTCAGCACTTCCCCCACCCCTGCAGGCCTACATCCAGGGGAATGAGGTGGCAAGCCGCCAGAGCATGGAGGTGTTGGCAGCACGAGGTTGCTAGCTTTCTTGCAAGGGCGGCAATTGCAGTGCAGAGATCACTTTGCTACGGGGCCAAACATGTTAGTGCTGAGGATGACTCTCCAACCGTTTGCATCCAGACCTGAAGGGTCGGCCCCTCCCTGAGTTTTCAGTGCCTTTTTCCACACCATCCCTCCTGTTATTTTCACGAACGGGACAGCATTTGGTGGGATATAGTCAGCCTGGAACCTGATGCCTTCGTCTTCACTTGCAGGGGGATGTTTTTCCTTCAGTTGTTTTAATGTCTATCTGTTTTTTGGCAGAACCTCACCGGAGGATTCCCCTGTGAGAGATCTTACCCCCAAAGACACTTTTCCCGCACGCATTTTGTTTCCAAACTTTCTTGCAACGTCATCCGTGTTTTGCTTTTCGTCTCCTATAAATTTTAGTCTCTCCTGCAGTGTTCTTGCTTCACATAGGATATCATCAAAGGCCCCATTCTGCCACATTGTCGACCTTCTCTTCATTGGTGCCACATTTTCTTTGTGCTTAGTCTTTGTGTGTGTCCTCTGACAAAATAGATGTGGTATTATTGCCAGTATTTGAAGAGATAAAGGGGCAAGGAAGCAGTCCTGAGTGTACTCAGTTATGAGGCGAGTCATCTCCCGAATCATTTCTTTGGTGGCCGCACACTTGGGTGGTTCAAACAGTTAGCGGTGCGACCAACTGGCAATTTCTGAGTAAGTTTCTTTAACCCCTATAACTCCGCATTTTTCCATCGACATGCCATTCCACTGTGGTGGCTGTCTCTCATTCACCTCGTGGACATCTGCTACTTCTGGAGCGTTTATTGGTACTACATTTTGAGGTTGAGTAGACTCAGTGCTATCATTTAGGATATCATCCGGCGGTTGGGTCCCGGCTATATATCCACTGTGGCCTTCCGTGTCGGCTCCCTGCCATGTGGGTTCCGACAATTGTTTCCCATACTGCAAACCACACATGGTCGGTTGTTTCTCGCACAATCACAGCTAGTGCAATTTTGGTTCTGGCTAGCACAGACGCAACAATGTCTGTTACCCGGCATAGTGTTCTGCACTTTGGGCGACAGTTAGGTCAGCCTCCAACATCTGCTTTGGTCCCATACAGAAGGAAAAACTAGTTCTTATGAGGAAAGGGTGGAGAGGTGACAGGCTGGACTGCTGTGTCCGGGTAGTAGGGGCATACATGCACGCGTGGGTGTGTAGGCCACCCCCCCTGATGACGACAATTCACACATCAGAGTGATACACTGGCTCAAGAATTGTCACACCTAACACTTGTTTATATAACCTTGGCAGAAATAACCACTATTTCTATGGTCGCACTACTACTACTACTACTATTACTACTACTACTACTAATAATAATAATAATAATTATAATAATAATAATAGTAATAATAATGCCTATAACAGCGGCATGGACAGATAATGTCAAGAAGGCTAGGATTATATATATATATATATATATATATATATATATATATATATATATATATATATATATATATATATATATATATATATATATATATATATATATATATATATATATATATATACATATATATATTGTATGAATTTGTGTTTTGAACAAGAAATTGCTTGAACCAGACGTATCGTGGTGATCCATTAGTTGAGAAGGGATTGACTGTGGCAAAGAAGGTCCTCTGGTATAAAGATACAAAGTGGGAATAAATAAAGAAAAAATGAATCTGGAAGGAAAATAAGTTCTGCTTTACATATATATAGTTGTTTTAGGTTGAGCGGGTGGCTAGATAATCTATAGGTGTTGATAGTCTGACTTGGCTTCTTAAGTCATAACTTTACAAAACTCTATCACCAGTGAGACACAATAGATAATAGGGAGGATATGTGACAATAAGGTGGACCACAAACCATGGTGACAAACATACAGTGACACGTCAAGAAGTTTTTGCACACCGATTTAGTGAGAAACACACACGCTGAAGTTACGTGGCGAAGGCAGTTAGTGACCTTGACTGGTAAAGTCAGATTACTTTCATACTTTTGCCGATATTACCCTATGTTCAGGGTTAAACATTACTCTTAATGTCAGGTTAGTGATATTATGTCACTACACGTTACTACAGCTACTGGTGTTACGTTTACGGTTGACCAGTTTATGACTTTTGAGGGAAATTTCTATGACAGGTATTGTTTTTATCATATACTGTAGACAGTTAATTTGTGTCATATTCAAGGTTAGTAGGTCCTATATACAATACTCTGTACAAGCGATACACAAGAGTCACATTAAAAAAATAGTTACATGTCAATGATAAGTCATGTCACTTTCATATGTGACCGGTTGATGTTATGAGCAGATAGTAACAGCATAATGGGTGGATGGGAAGGAGAAGAATGAGGGAACAGTACTACTTACTCCTGACGCTGGCGAGTTTCTCGGGAGAGGGAGCGCACCCTCCTCCAGTAGTCAAGGCTGGTGACATCCCTGGTGGGGCTGGGGCTGCCTGCGCCTTTCATGACGTTAGGGGTCCCAGAGGTGCGATGACGTGGCCTCCTCCGGGCATCCATCGTATCCCCGTCATTGCTAGGGACGCTGTCACCCAGTGTTAAGGATAATAATGCAGAGTTGTGAACGACGGGATGATATAAATGGAGCATTATCTCATCCCAAGAGGTACTTACTATTCATTCGCTTGTTAGATGACATAATAAATACATTATCGAATAGAAGCAAAATATTGGACCTTGGTAAAGATAAGCAGATCATACAACTAAGAGGGTGCAGATGGGAAGAAGTACAGAAGAGAAGAGAATGCACACACCAACACTGAGGCAGAGAGAGACGCGGAGAAACAAGATCATAAACAGCAATACAACTACCAGCTACTGTACAGCCTTATCTTGTGATAGAATTTCCCCCTCACATAGATAAGCTAAGTAAAGGAAACTCTGGCTATGTATTCACCTGAAGCAAGGGATACAAGCACGAGACATGAGTTGACAGTGGGACACCCACACGGATATGTGAAGAAGGTTTCACTACTGTTTACCACCACCAGGTGTTTAGGTATCTCTCACTTGATTTGCTGATCGAGCTGACGTAATGACTTCTTCCAGCATTCAGCTGCACCCTTGGACACGTCGGTATGATAGAATATTGGGTTCCATTGTCTATATGTTTCATATTCATTCATATTTGATTCCACGTATTTTTAAAGCTGAAAAAAATAAAACAAAATTACCATCATACAACAGAACATAATAAATTATAATGGCAAAAGCTATCGAACCTTATTGAGGTGAAGAGGTGGAACATACACTAAAAAAAAAAATGTTTACAAAAGGTTTGAAAACGGTAAACCCTTTTAAGGGTATATGAGCATCAATGGACCCTTGAAGATACAAAGGGTATATTATCATTATCTAAAACCTTACTCTACAAAAGGTATAAAAAGATCAATATATTTAAAAACCTTAGGGTGCAAAAAGGTATATCAAGGAGAAGTGAAACCCTGTGAAAACAACTCGGCACTAATCTTCATCACATTAGCGTTTATAATAATGATAATAACAATAATAATAATAGTAATAATAATAATAATAATAATAACAATAATAATAATAATAATAATAATAATAATAATAATAATAATAATAATAATCATAATAATAATAATAATAACAACGACGACGACGACGACGACGACGACGATCATCATCATCATCATCATCATCATTATTATTATTATTATTATTATTATTATTATCATTATTATTATTATTATTATTATTATTATTATTATTATTATTATTATTATTATTATTATTATTATTATTATTATTACTATTATTATTATTATTATTATTATTATTATTATTATTATTTATTCAGTAAAGTTTACAATTGGATAGGCATGTTTATAAACTATATACAGTGCAGCATGAATATAGACAATGTAGGACGTGGGAGCATACAGTTTCTTGTGTGCCGAGACAATGGAGGTAAACAAAATGGTAAACAGTTAGTCAACTTGACCAAGGATAGCCGACAAAGCTGTCAGGTGCTTATTTCCAGGAGGGTCCTTTTTTCTTAGGCTTGCGCTTGGTCTCTAATCAGTAATATAGTATGTCACCAGGAGTATTAGTGAAAGGTAATTCGATATAAACCAACAAGCATTATATTGCTCTTGAACTATCGAAGGCTGGCGGATCACTACCGTAGTTCTTACATTCTGTGGTTTAATAATATAGAAACTCACCTTCATCTCCTGATGTAGCTTCATGTATTATGTATTTCTTTGTTTTAGCTTTGAATTAATACCGTAACTGGTTTTGATGTGGTCTGGTAACTTGTTCAGGTGTGTTATAGCAGTGAAGAAGAAAGTGTTTTACACTTGACCATGGACACCGGGTACAGTTGCCTCCACATGAACGTACCACAACCTGGGAGTGTGTGAGGGCTCAGGTAAGAGATGTGGCATTGCAGCGCCGTAGTCAGGGCTGAATGAATGGGCATGAAACAGTGAAATTATCTTGTTTGTGTAGCTACACATCAATGCTGAAGAACACTTTTCACATTAATGCTTTATTTGTTTATACTATGCAGCATTGTTGTGTAGCCATGACCGAATGACTATGACTGAACTGGTGACCGGATAAAACCCCAACGGACAAAACCCCAGTCTCATATATTATGTATAAAATAAAACACTTTTATGTTTAGGTTAGGTTAGGTTAGTGTTGACAAATGACAACCCCATTGGGGTTTTGTCCGTTGGGGTTTTGTCATGGAACCGACTGAACTACAGGGCACAAACAGGGTAATCCATGGTTTCATGCCCATGACTACTGCACTGACTTGCCACATCTCGTACTTGTGTCCTCACACACACTTCCAGGCCGTAGTACATTCATGTGGAGGCAACGTACCATAAAATTATGTTCAAGTCCTCTTGTGCCCTACCGTTTTATATCCCTACTCTTTGCAAAGTTTGTTGTTAGATACTCTTGGTACATTCCGTTGAAAATCCCGTAAGCGTGATTCGACTAATACTGATTCTGCCGAAGTTCTTGGCCTCTGTGATGCTGTCAACTCTCTGATGTCTCAGTATACCCCAATTGCAGCACGCCCTGATGCCATTGAAGCTCGCATTGATAGTCTGGGAAGCAGGCACTCCACTCCTGAAAACACTCTTGCATTTCTTGTAGAAACTCAACAGGTCGTCATCACGTCTGTCACCACCCTTACTGAGAAGCTAGACGCTCTCACCTCTCGCCTTGAGAGGACCATTGGTCTCCTGGCCCCCTCACGTGGCATACCCCAAAGCGACGCTCGTGCCACATCTCTTCCTCACCTGGCTCTTGTAAGGGTAAACGTCAAGTTTGATAACCGGATACCGCTTTTCATTATCTCATGGAATGCCTGTGGAATATAAACCGATACGAAACTTGCTTCACTTAAAGATTATATTTGTCACCATCATCCGGAATTTATATACATCTAGGAAGCCTTTGCCGCCCGATTTCTATTTCGAGGGAAGGCTCCTCTGCTTACTGGCTCCATTCCCGATGTTCATCTTGTCAGGAATGGTCTCACCAGCTACCTCCGCTTCTGCTGCTGCATTGACTTCTTCGCTGCTCTGAGGATGATAATATGACCTTCCAGCTTCTTGAGACAACAGTGGGTGACGGCAAGATCCGTCTATGCAACGTCTACTCCACTCCTGTCAGGATAAGTCTCTCTGCCCTACATACTCCTCCGATCTCTGGAATGATCTACATGGAAGATTTCATCCTCGACATCCTGAGCTTGGGGACCTCTCTCCTAATCCCAACCAAAATGGGATTCGGTTTCTTCAGTACATCCGCATTCACCAGCTGTCTCTCTGGGATACTGGTGGTGCCACTCACTCTTGTGGAGGTACCCTTGATCACATCTTTACTTCTGGACTAGTGGCATCCCGAGTAAGGTCTTCACCCATTCCTACCCTCTTCTCCGACCACGTCGCCCTCAGCCTCCATTAATCACTCCCAACTGGACCTCCCCCTATCCAGAGTCGTACCCGTATTACCATCCCTCAGAAATACTGTCTTACCTACATCTCGTACATGTCTAACCATCTCCCCACATTCGATTTAAGTCGCTGGAGACGTCATACTCCTCCCTGGTGAACTCCACACGTAACTTCCACAGTCACTATGTCTCTCGGCCACACATCAAACATCGTTCCGAAGCCTACACCTGGACCCTTGAAGAACGTATCTTCTAGGTGGAAAAGAAGGTGGCGGAAAATGGTATCTCATTCCAAGGGGAACCGACCCTTGACCGCCTCCACCAGTACCAATCGTCCAGAGATGATCTAACTGCCCTCCAACAATGTGTTCGAACTGAATCCTGGCGTAATATCACAGACAGCATTAACCATCAGACTAGCGTGGGAACCATGTGGCACCTCATCAACAAGGTGGTCAAGAAGAAGTCCTCTAGTGCCTTTTACCACAGCCCAGCAGAGTACGCATAAAATCTTGTCAAAACATGGTCAGAGCAACCCCAAGCCCGTAATATCCCGAGCACATTCAAGAGGCCCTTTCATCCCAGTCAAATTTCCGCGCCCCCCGTCTCCTGGTGGCGTTGCTAAAGGTCGATGAATAGGATACAGTGGAAATAACCGAGGAGGAAATGCGGCGTGCCCTCATTCGGGGTAAGGCAAGAGCCTCCGATGATGACGGTGTCACCCACTCAGTTCTCTGTTTGCTCCTGAAAGTCCTCGTCAAACCTCTCCTCCTGCTTTACAATCTCTGTCTCAGAACGTGGTATGTGCCCAATGCCTGGACCTCCAGCACAATAGTACCCATTATAAAATGTGGCACTGCCAAATTCAGAACCATTTCCCTCACCTCTTCCTTCAGCAAAGTGATGGAACGCAGTCTCCTTGCCCGTCTCATGTTTCGGCTGGAGGACAAACTCTCACCTTATTTGGCTTTCTACCACAACGGAGTACGCATCACTGTCTCTCAAACCTCTATACTCGCCTCTCCCCTACTGGAATGATCACAGTCATACATGTTTATTAACGTAAAATCAGATGATTCATATCATGCTCAATTGCCCCCTCCCCACCCCAAGACATGTAGCTGTAATTTCTTTATTGAGTCCCCCATCTGAAACGCCCGCTTTTTCATTGCTTCAGTTCACCTGAGACCTCCGTTTTCTCTCGTGTATTTCAAAGGCTTTAAAATCTAACGTGTTCTTTGTAGATTTAAAATTGCGAATGAATGTAGCACATGTTACATTAAGTTAAATATACCTGCGTACAGCTGAAACATTCAATATCCATTGTGGGAGATATTGAAAGCTTCAACTGCATTTACTTTTAGTAAAATTATCAAGTAAGTCCTTGTGTTTGAGTTTGCAATAGAGAATCTGAAGACTGCATTGAAATTGCTGTCAGTTTTGTATTTACGATTGCTATCAATCAATTGAAGAAACTTGTTGACTTCTTATCGGCCTAAAATATAATGGCGAAAAGTGACTGGCTCTGTGTTAGAGTTTATGTCACATCAGCATAAAATGTTGTTGTCAGTCTGCGCACTTTTTAAGTTTAATCATTGCACTGCAAGCTCAAACACTGATTAGATTGCAAACAATAGCATTTAGAAATTTATCTGACCCATGACACTGATTTTCACAGTCCAATGTATAATGCAGCTGAGTTAAATGAATATGCGCGAGATGCCAGTGCGTAAGTGCGTTGTATATAACTGAGTGAATGGGAGACGATAGTCACTTCTTCTGACTCGTCCCATTGTCTCTCAGGTATGTAGCTAGTGCCTCACACCCGCCATGTTAAGTGAATTTAACTCAGCTGAACTTTATTGAAAATATCAGTGCTCATATTTTAACGTAGTTGAAAATCTTATGTCCCAAGTGATAAAATATTTTAACTAGACATCGTCTGTGTTGATGAGCCATGCCTTTCCTTGCCAGACGTGTGTAATATGTTGTATTTTATTTTACACTACCTTTTATGACTGGTCCCATCATCTCTCAGTCACTGTGTGGGTGTTTTGCTGCTACCGAGTAACAGTAGATGCCTACCAGTTAAATGTCCGAGGCAGGATATTTAATCCAACGAGATTAAAATCAGAGGGAGTGGCACGCCCTGGGAGCTACTCAATGGGGAGTGGGCTTCTATCACCAATGGACTGGTGTTT